CTGCAAGGCTCCTGTGAGTTAGAAAAGCTCCATATAACCAGATGGGAAAGAAAAGAGTTTGAGGCAGAATGAGTTTACTCTAGATACCCAGAAATTAAACTGTTTGCGTGTTTGCATCTAAATATTGGCTGTACCCACAGAATCTCTTCAATGGATGTTTTTCATAAAGAAATAATTTAGTTTTACAGATATGGAGTCTTATTGTGTGCCTCTCAGCATGGAATGCAAGGGTGGCAACAGCTAGTCTAATCACAGCCACCAATAAAGAAGAATTTGTAATTAACCACAAAACATTGTAGCAATGAGAAACCAGACAAATTAGAGGCCTGGAAGGTCTCCAGCTACTAGAAAGCTGAATTTTCCGCTATAAGAATAGAAATAACAGAACTTAATTTTTTTGCCTGTATCTTGCCTTTATGTAGATTTTATCAGTACATCAATTGTAAAGGGAAGAGCAGAAACAAATATTATTCTCCCATTGATGGAAAAGATGTGGGAATCATATCAATAGTTATTGTGAACTTCATCAGAGGAATATTAAAGCTTTTTTATATAAAACCCAATATCCTTCTGGGAAAGATTAAAACAGAGCCAGAATTTGCTTATCCTTATCAACTGATCAATCTTAAGACTGTCAGGAAAAGATGCAGGTCCCACTGACAGGGAGAAAGAATGCAAAATAGTGCAATTAAGGTTTTTCCTGAATAGGAAAAAAAAAAAACTTTACCAGTCATACAAACAAGTTTCAAGACCCATGGAATTGAAAAAGCTGTGATGAAATTGGTGTATTTCATGCCATTGCAGTATCTTTATAAGTAGGTCCCCCAAGAAAGAGCAAATAAATATGGAGGCTGCTCATTGTTAGCACATAATGCTTGAAATAGGATTCCTGTGATCTTTTATCTGGGGAAAAGAAATGAGACTTAGTTGCTGCACTGCAAATTCTATTTTGATGTACATCAGTTTTGAAAGCCAGCAACAATTTTGTTTTTTTCTGAACTTGCTATCAGGTTACTTACTTAAGTTATAATATTTTGCTCTCTCCTTGTAGAGCTGGAAAACCTTGTATCGAGCTCCTATGTAATGTGCATATAGCAGTTTGGAGAGATTCCACTTCCCTTATTTCCTGCAGGGAGCTGTTAAAATTCCACCTCTGCTTTCCTTCCACGACCCCTCCCAGATAACCTGCTGTGCCATTTGAGGTCCCTACTATGGCATCTATTATAGATCACAAAGAAACCAAATAGTTTCTGTACGAAATGTATCATTTCTATGTTCTTTGTTATGTCCTTGTCATTTAACAGTGATCTAAATCTCTGGGCACATTACTGAACAGATGACAGAGCAAGAATTAACACAATTCTCCAACATATTTTTGGGGAATACATATTGGAAATTGGAGAGTTAAATAAATTGACTCAGAAGGAATAATACATTTGTTTCTTTAAGTATCACTTGCTTTTAAGTATGGAAAATTATTTTTGTGAACTGTTAAATAAGAAGAATGAAAATACATATCAGCTTTGAGTTTTTGTTGCTTTGGATTTGAAGAAACTGTTTTTTCTTCTAGATGATACACTACAAAGGTATAGAAAGATCTGTCTGACTGCTTATTAATGGGTTCTGTTAATCTGGAGATAAAAATTCATGAAGCAGTTTTAGATAAGGATGGAATGATGACTGAGGTTAAGTACCAACACAAGTTTGAAACATTAAAAGTAGTGGTTTTGTACCTACAGCCCTGTTGTTAAAACGTACATTATATTTTTCTTTCATTTACAGAGGGCTGTATCCTTTACATGTTCTGCACCTTTTTAAATAATCCAATTTTCTCATTTCAAATCAATTGTTGTCTTACTCCATCTCATCCCTCTCCACAACTTAGTTGTAAATCACCACGTGTGAGGAAAGTCTGGTGTCAGACTCAACTTCTTAATTTGCTCTTTGTAAATGCTGGAGTTGGTGTGATAGTTTTCTTTGGAGTGCACGCAGCAATGTGTCTGCATGTCAATCTGAATATGTGTGGGGCCCACTCACTTTGGGACTGCAGAATTTTGGAGCTTGTTCTTCTGTTTTGTTAATCACTTTTTGTTAATCACCATTTCATTGCCCCAATACTCATATTTACAACTCCAAGTCCTTACCCTGGTTTACCTCTTGCTTTGTCCTCCTCTCTGGTTTCTCATTCAGCTTACCCCAGTTTTCTCTGGCAGCCTTGCTTCTTGCCAGATATCTCCTAACTCCACCTATCTATGATAGGCATCAGTGATTCTTTGCCTCCTTCTCTGACTACTTCTAATCCCATTGTTCATCCCCCAGTTTTAGAATTCATATAACAGTTTGGGTTGGAAAGGATCTTTAAAATTTGTATAGTCCAACCCCCTGCAATGAGTAGGGACATGGTTTGCTAGATCAGATTGCTGGAAGCCTTGTCCAACCTGACCTTGAATGTTTCCAGGGATGGGCCATCTACCACCTCTCAGGGCAACTCCTTTCAGTGTTTTACTCCCCTCAAACTCCTCTCCCTTTGTCAAACATTTTCTCTA